GCATTTTTTGTGATATAACTTTGTATTTTCGGAAACGGGTTACCGTGAAAGTAAAATTTGATCTAAATTAATTGCAAAAATGTTTTATTTTAAATGTAACAAAACACATTTTTCGAGATACAACTGTATTTTCGGATACCGGGTGTCATGGAGAGTAAAATGTGATCTGAATTCACCGTAAATAATGTTTCATTCCAAATGTATTATAACGCATTTTTTGAGATATAACTTTGTATTTTCGAAAACGGGGCGTCACGAAAATTATTAATTTAATGTTTTATCTATCGTCTAACTAACGTCTGGAACACATCATTTTCGGGGAGAACTCTAGCCCGCGAAACGTCATTTAATTTAAAATAGAGAATGTTTCACGCATTTCAAAACGGAAAATCACCAGTAAGTGGACAGGGATTCAACCCTCCGGATTCAGTATTCTATATCCCCGTGTCAGAACTTTCTGAAGAATGGAACAAAGAACCCGTCAAACCGCCGCGGAAGAAGGGGAGTATTTTTTGCACTAATAATTAGGGCGTGACAATATCAAAATCGTCAAGAAACTGGTGAATTTGCAAATTCCATAAATAAAATTGTGAATTGCTCGGTAACATTTTAGCTATAATTATCGCCGGGGTATTGTTTTGTTGAAAACACGTTGAAACTTGAGGGAATTAGTTACAATTAGCGCCTGACCTCTATTAGGCACTCGAGCACTCGAAAAAAAAGCACTCGAGCCCAATCTTTTTAGCAATAAGTCGCATACGTGAAATATCCTGTAAAAGAAGTGCTGTTCATTAACGTCATCTCGTCTTATGACCACGCAGAAATGCCTTTATAGCCGAATTATTCAATCATTTTCAAATCAACATTCAGGATTGGCACAATTTCAGATTTGCGAAGTTTATCACCATAGAAATACATGAGAAGTTAATTATCGTCTTAATAATATCTGCATCACGTATGGACAATAATATTACATTCGCATAAAAATTGGGACGGTAAATTTACAGAATCTTGATAGTATATTAAAGCCAGCGAAATGTTAATTTGAGTCCTCAATGTCTTCAACAGCTGTTGCCGATGTGAACGAACGGGTAAACCCGAAATATAAAACTTCGATGTCCTCCGACCACAAGAATTCATATTTGTAAAAAAGAGAGGACGGGAATATAGAATTACCCAAAAACCTGGATATCGCCGCCAAAACGATCGGTGACAAGAACAATTAGCGATTACAACGGAATTAACCAGTAAAAAGGCTTTGTTGCCGATTTTTTTAATGTTTCCACCACGTTTATTCGGTACTTCCTTTAAAAATATTCGATTTAAAAAAATATTGAATTTTGCCCACCCCTCCTCGCATATCAATGAGAAATAGTTGTGTAAATATCGCAAAAAATCCGGAAAATGCCAACGTCTTTCAACATTGTGATTACAATAAAATGGCATTTTAATGGTATTTTGTGAATTTGTTTGATTTTGCAAATCTGTGACATGCTGCTAAAAGTTTCGTCTGATTGAAAATCGTGCAGTTTTGGTCACAATTCATCCAAAGTGACTATAACACGTTACTAACACTTTTATAGTCATTTTTGAATTCATCGATATCATTGATAGTCACATGACCACTCTCGTTCAAGGAAACCCCCTAGAGCGTTTTTTGCAGGAGAAGCGGAATCCGTGTGCTTGTATAATAATCATATTATAAACAAGAATTTTGCCGTTAATGCAAAAGCTTTATCTCCTATGTCTGCATCTCATAGGTTAGAATTCCGGTAAATATCGTTATGATATGCAAGAATTGAGTTACAAAGTACCAGTATGTTACTTATTTGTCAACTTAATACTCGGAAATATTTGTTAACTTTGAATTTTTATTCCATTCAAAATCGGAAAAAAGTGCTATTTCTCTTCAAAATCGGAAAAAAGTGCAGTTTTTCCAGACGCAGTCCCTAAAAAAAGTTGCGAAAGTGTTTCGCAATTTTCGCAAAAAAGTGCGCTAATAGTGAACACTGGTACACATATTTCTGGAGCGCCGAAATCTGAAACTACTTTTTATGTCATTAGAGTTTAAATATTCTTGTGTTTCAATATATATTCAACATAATAGTACATAAACACGTTATATTTCGGGAGATTTTATTACCACCAACAAAGTCAACACTTTTTTGAAGCAACAGAATGCAAAATAATTCAACAAGAAATGGTTGTCATTATTTTTGTTGGTCAGGTTGCAAGACAGGTTGAGTCACAGAGGATCTTGGCCCTTGCTTTATGAAAGTAATCATTCAGAATGGATAAGAATACTGTGTATAGAAATAAAATTTGTATGTGTGAATCAGCAATTGAATTTAAGTTTAACATTGCAATTTGTGATGTTAATAGGTCAAGTGAAATTTTTGAGTCCGAGAAGGTCTAGAGAATCAGAACAAATATATATCGAGAGCATAGATTTATGGGGTGTACTAGGGTTTTGTGTGTTGAACTGCAGGTTCTTTCTCCTTGTTTACTTTCTATTCCGGATCCTGATGTGGCTGTTGCCACGAGGTTGCGTGACTGAGATAGTATTATGAAGATAAACCAACCAACCAATGTATAATGTATTTCTGTGATTTTTATCTTACAATTTTCAACTAATTACTAATCTTTTTAATTTGCAGCCATATCTTGTTTTATCTGAAGAAGTTAGACTATGATGTAACGAAAGCTCATAAATATACTTGGTATTTCGTGGAAATAGATTATGTAATTTTTATTTGGCATAGATTTAGTTTTTATAATTATTTATAATAGTTTTTTAATTTAGTTTTTGTAATTAGATATTCATCGGAAAAATACCGGGTTCAAATACATGGCAATAAAAATTATTTGGGGGGTGGCGGGGATTATATGGAGACTTACAACTGGTCTTACATAAAATTAAAACTCTCAGTGTAGTAGCGATCGGTAACATATGGCATTTTAATAATACCCTGAAATACCAGTTTTGTTTTGTTTTTGGATGTTTGGGGTCTAATATAGCCAACAATATCTGATGGAGAGAGAGAGAGAGAGTTTATTTCATTTTGTCAATCCAAGAAAACAATTCATGCACACATAAACAAATATCAAAAAAATAGTTTTCGGTATATGACGGGGGGGCAACGATACGACCTTTTGGGGTCATCAGAGTCAGTTGATGGGTAGTTTAAACTTGCATTTGTCACCTAATTTTAGCAGCGGAATCATGACTATGTACCATGACGAGTACGAGAAGTTTTTCATAACTCTACATGTCAGATTTCATTAGGTACTCACTTTAAAATAAACAAATTTCTCTTTAGAGAGTTTTATCCTTGCAGAAAGTATTAAAAAAAAAATTTTTTTCAGTGCGCTATCCTCATGATCGAAACTAATACATACCGGTACTCCTTTCTGCATTCCTGTCCTAAAAACACTCAATTTAAAGTAATTTCTGTCGGTGTGGAAATATTTTTGCCAAAAAAACAGTATTTCCTCACACATAGAGCAGGGGTCCCGCAAGTACTTTTTTGGCGGCTCTGTTCAAAACAGAAGGCGTAGAATGGGTGTCGCATAAAATCATTGAATGTATTACTTGAAATCGTGAAAACAAAAATATTAATGTGGGAACAATTATGTAAATGTTACAAAGATATTATGAATAGCGACTGTTTACAAAAGTGTACATTATATAACAGATTTAATGGCATCTATGTTAGGCTCATCGCACTTGGATGACAAATGTTTTCTTGTTAGATTTGCAGGTTTAGTTAAAGTTTATATCCTAGAACTTTGAAGTTATTGTCGAAAAGTATTATTGAATATTACATCGGATGGATCTTTTTTTATGAAGCTTTACCAGATGGTCAATACGCTGGATGTTTAAAGTGTATGACATTGTAAAGCAAATATGATGTCTTATCAAAAAGTAATAGCAAAAGTCAATGATAACACTGAAAAGTGCACTGACTTCTATGACTTTGCTGAACCTCATGGAGTTTTCAAGAGAAAACTAAATGTGGACGTAACTCCTCAATTGGAAGAAATTGATTTTTATAGAGGTGGAAGAATTCCTGAACACGATTATGTACCAGAGTCACCTAATCAACAAAAGTATTTACAACGAGAAAGAGAAATAGGGATCAGAAAAGAGACACAACTTGATGAATTGTTTAACAACTTTAAACATGGTCATGTCTGTTTCGTGGGCCCCCTGGTTCAGGAAAGACCACACTCATGAAAGCAACCTCAAGAGATGTCATACAGGAAAATATTTCCAGGAATATCAAGATGGTTCCATATGTAGAATGTAAACAATTTATGAACGACAGTAAAGTAACAGCAGAAGAACTAATTTTCAGCAATCTCACAAAAGAAGAAAGAGTTCAAGCAATAGACATTGCAAAAACTCACCCAGAGGAAGTTTTGTTTATGCTCGACTCCTTGGATACTCTTCAATATACAGTTGATGGAGTTTATGAACTCATCAGTCTAGATGAGCCTGCATATCCTGAGTAATAATGTGGAATTTTCTCTCGAAAAATTATTTCCTGGCTGTCGCATTATATCGTCCAGTCGTGAACATTCCATCAGAAATTATTGGGGAGAAGTTCGACCAGACAAGGTCATTGCACTTGCTGGATTAACAATGGACTCCATCAAGAAATAATTTCTGGATATGAAGGAAATGAAGAAGCCGAGAAAATAATAGAATTTCTCAAAATCAAAGCTCCACCACTCTTGTTACTGTGCACTACCCCTGTGATGCTGGTTTACACGCTGATAGCATTAAAATTCAAATCTGACTTCAAACCAAACACCATGAGTGGTATTATGATTGTGGTCATGCAAAGTATCTTACGATCACCCCACACTCACCAAGAGATTACTATGGAAGTTTTGGACAAATTAAAAGAACTATCATACATTGGGACAGTAGAACGTCGAGTTCTATTTACAGAAGATGATTTTCGTCAAGTTCATCTAAAACCGAAGAAGCAACCGATCTAGCAATTCTGGCTCCTGGAGGAATATATCGTAAACTCTTTCAAGGAATCCACCTTCTTTACTTTCAACATCAAAGTATTCAAGAAATGCTCACATCTTTCTATATTCTTGGACTGGATTTAAAATCTTTTAAGGAGTTCGTGGATAAACATCTTCATACCGGTCACTTTGTTTTCGTCAGAAAAATGATCTGTGGATTTTTATTGAATCCGACAGTTTATGAAGCAGCCGGAATTTTACTTGAAGGTAATGTGTTGTTTATTGTTGATTCAAATTCAAGCTAGAGCCATTTTTTTTCTTGATTCGAATCTAAAATTTGTTACGTTTCTCGCATTATCAATTAATCAGTGCAATGGCCTAGCAGTTAAAGTTTCAACCTAATAACTGTATTGGCATTGTAGGTTACTCATCTCGGGTTCACATCGCATACTTGTCTCTTCACCTAGGCCCTAGGGTGTAATAAATTTGGTAGACAATGCTGACCTAGGAATATTCCTGTAATTTTAAGAAACAGTAACTCTATGCCTAGCTTATCAGTGCACACTGTTACAGGGCATTGTTCGGAGCCAAATCCATGAATAAGTTCATATAAAAAATTAATTCATCAATGCTGTAATTCTTGGTGATAGGGGCAAAGGTTGAGATGCTACTAGGGCAAGGATGGGCAAGATTTTTCGACCAGGGGCCAAAAATTGTGCCCACTTAGACTTGCGGGCCATGTAAGTGTGATGATTTTATGAAAATATTTACAGTGTAACAAAAGCAAAAGTGGAAAACAATAAGCCTCGTGCCAAGACTAATTTTAATCGCAATCTCAACAAATTTCTTGAGCTAATTTTAACTAAAACATCAAAATTTAGTTTTAGTTAGGTTGTGGCACCATCATGCGGGCCAGATTGAATTACTCAACGGGGCGGATTTGGCCCACGGGTCATACTTTGCCCATGTCTGTACTAGGGTGCTTTATTGCAAAGCAAAAGTAGCCGAGCATCATTAATACGCATCAATCATTATTATTACACATTTTACACTGGATTTGAACTAAAGTTTTAAGCTTGGGGAAATCTGAAGTGCAATAACAAACACTAGTCTAAACAATGTAACAGACACATTAGTACAATGAGGTGCCCAATACATTGATTGGCTATGGCTGACTAGATTTAATTTTCCAATAACTAATTTAAAAGAGATAAGCGCTAATGTTATTTGCAAGTCAATCTTTACTGAATGGTAACTTATCATTCAGACACAAGTATCATCAGTATACATATATTCTTATATTTTCACAGAAATTCAGGATCTTGAAGAAAAACGAGATATTCTCAAGAAAAGTCTGCAATTACAACTCAATAAAAGATCAAACAAATCAGATCTTTTGGAACTTTTCAATGCATTGAACGAAGCCAAGAATGGAATGAGTGACATTGTCAAATCATCTCTTGACATAATTGACATGTATGATCATCCTCTCTCCATAAGTGATGTTCATGTCATTGGATCAGTAGCTTTCTACTGTACATCACTATCAATGGATTTCGATAATTGTGATCTCAAGTCAGCCTCACTTCAAACTCTGGCATCTGAATTGAAAGGATCAAATGTGAAGGTAGAATTTCTGATATTAAATTCTTTAAAATTTGTTTTCATGTTTTACTATAAATAAGCTTTAGGCAAGCAGCTCATATTTGGAGTCAGGTACTACTATATAGTAGAATTCACCATATATTGATTATTGTTATAAATTATATCAGAATCTTTTTGGTTTGAAAGTATTTACTGAATTGTCACACGGAGTGTTGTGGTGGACCTGGTTTTTAAACATTAAATCTGCGGTCCGTGGCACAAATGTAATTATTATAGTTAAATTTCTTATTTGACGAATACTTTCTGACTATACAGTATGTGCCAAACACCATAGAGCAGAATTTTTAGCGCTCCTGTAGTATGTGCACTAGAACGTAGCATGTGTACCAGGTTAGGGTTAGGCCATAAATTTATTCCAATTTTACTTATTTCAGTTCTATTACGAGTGCGGGGACTAGCCTAATGACTGCCGTAGTATTTGTACCTGAAATTATGGCCCAACACTAACCTGCTACCCGTTCTGCGTTCCAGTGTCCGCCATCTTGGTTCAAATACTACATGAGTAGTTCATTTTGTTTTGTCAGTATTAGATTTGCTTAATACATATTCATGGTTTATTCAATTTAGTCAATAAAAGGCAATGAACTATTGCACATGTGGGCTCCTTGACCAACTGGAATTTTTCATTCGAATTCCGCTCTATCAAAAAGGTGAAACCACTGTCCATACTTGATTTGTTGCTTTATTCAACAAGATTTATAGCAGTCCAATTACGCCAATTAGGGCAAATGCTATGGGAAAGTGGAGAGGTATTGGCCACCTGATTTGCCAAGCTATTTTGTTTTGGTCTTTTGCATAAAATATCCAGTCTTTTACTCGCTGAATGTTTGATAATTCAGCTAACTGTTCCACGCATTGTTTTTGTGAAGTGAATTTTTCCACAAAAATTTCGTTTGCGCAAAAAAAAATTGCTGTAGAGCAGGGGTCACAAACCCGTTGCCTGCGGGCACCAAGTCGCCCGAGAATACCACATGAGTCACCCGAAGACTGTTCCGAAATAAGCTTAAATTTTTGTCCTGCTATTGTATAGATCAGTGGTCGGCAACCTTTTTCAAGTGACGGACCGGTAAACCTTGACCAAACTCTTGGCGGACCACCTTCATACAAACGAACTAAGCCTATGCAATAAATTATACGCACCAGGAAATTTATGTTGACAATATAACAAAAACGACGGTGATGCTATTTAATGCGATATCTGTATTTGTTTGATGGCCATTGTTTCGATATTCGAGATATGGTCGACATTGACACACGTAACGTGTTTCTTACATCGAGCCTACTTCGATATTTTGTTTTTGTAGTTATCAATATTGACAGTGGCGTAGCCAGGGGGATGGTTTTGCGGGTCGACCCCCCCCCCCCCTTTTGAAATGTAAAAAAAATAAAATCTATTTTCTGTATCATAGATAGCAATTTTCCGTAGCTTGAAATGCTTTTTAGACCCCAAGACTAATAAAAACACGCGTATTCCAGCGTTCGATCGGACCCGCTAGCTGTTTCAATCTAACTTGGCAAAAAAAAAATTCAGAACCCCCCTTTGAAAATTTCTGGCTACGCCCCTAAATATTGAAAACCAGGCCTCACAGTACAGTAATAGGATTTCGGGAAAGTTAACAATGACTGTATCATTTTATTGGGGAGATCTTATTCGGACTGATGAGAGACATTCTTATACGGGCGTAGAGAAAACAATTGACCCAGTATTATTGCGACATACTGATATGGCAATTGTTTATGAAGTCACCCATGCTGCTTAATAGTGTTGTGCGGTGGTCGGCAAACTTCATGTTCCAAATATACACATTTCCGGTAGCGCGCGGGCCGCAATATTTCCGCCTTCGATTAATTAAACTTCAAATTATGGAGCATTCGCTTTGCTGCCCTTCTACTGCTGTGTTGAAAGCCTGTCCCAAAATTACCTCAAACGACATACAACTGACGCTACTTGTTACATAACAAGCGCCGTGCAGCAGCATTTTTCACCACATAAATCCGTGTAGAGACAATAATATAATAATAATATAATTGGGATCAATTTTTGTTTTATGTATTAAATTTCCGGTCGTTCGAGGGCCGCAACAAATTAGCTCGCGGGCCGCCTTTGGCCCGCAGTTTGCGGACTCCAGGTGTTGTGCTTGTTCGGTTTACTGTTGGGTGCTGTTTTTCAGTCGTAGGGTTTGTGGTTAGATTGTATAAGGTTTTATTACGGCCTTGTCCGCTTTTGTGTCACCTCTCTGCGGACGGCAGTAACCTTTCCGCGGACCGGCGATGGGCCGCGGCCCGGTGGTTGCCGACCCCTGGTATAGATCACACTTCTATGGGAACTGGGAATCGCACTATATTAATTATTGTTACAATCAACCTGATTTGACCTCAGTAATGTGACGGGTCATTTAATAATCTTCCAATTATGACATCACACATATATCACCTTCCACGAACCTGCGTTTTTTCAAGTACAGTGTCAAGTATTCTGTGACGTCTACAGCTGCCGCAAAACCATGGAGGTATTCCCAAACCATAGCCCGCTATGGCCAAGCCAAACCCACGGCGACCGACTTTTTAGCTGCCACATAAGAATGGCAGAAAATTGTGCTGCCGTAACCGCGTCAAAAACCATGGCAAGAGCTGCCATCTGTTTGTTCGTTGCAGGAGCTGCCATGAAGTGGTAAGAACTGCCACTCCGTTTTTGCTTGTCCATCGGTTTGTGGAGTAGCAATAATACAATTATTGATTCCAAGGAAAAATGGCAGTAAAACGATAGAGAATCAACCATTTTCACAATGAATGAGAGGTGGATTTATTTTTAACCCTGTGAAAAAAGTTTGCGTGTGTCTGAATTGTTTATTTGCTGGACGATTTTAGCGACGGCAAAGCGGAGTGAAATCACACAATCTACCACGCTTAACTATCCACATGTCAGCGCAGTATGTGCAGAAAAAGCTTGCGATTTAAATCATACGGCAATCCCATTTTTCGAAGCTATTGTTTGGTTCAACCTATCTTTGTTAATCAACATTTTTTGACATGTACTTCACCCGGAACAAACACGGAACACGGCTTTCTGATGATCTGCAAGTCTCGCTCAGAGTTACAGTGTCAAGTTACGCGCCGCAGAACAACACTCTGTAAAATATGATAGCACAACTGTTAAGTCCGTTTTATCTTAGGCTCGTGCATAGTGTTTGCAAATAATCCATGAGCGTTTTGGTTTCCTAGGATAATATACTAGTGATCACTTTAAAATCAATTTGAAAACACTCAGTTTTTAAATGCAAGTGTCATTGATAGAAATTTATTGCGACGTTGTGATAATCGTTTGATATCCTGGAGAATCCTAAAGTTTATTAGTGGGTCTACTTGACTAAATACCAGTAATTATCAATATTTGAAACTTAATCGAGCAAACTGACTTTTATAGAAGTGTACATTGAACTGGTAGCTCTCGGCTTAATCTGTACCCAAAAAGTAGCCCTCGGCTTCGAAAAGGTTGGTGACCCCTGCTGTAGAGAGACGGAGGTAACATCAATCTCTCTAATCTTGTATTTTCGATGCCCTACATGACGCTACCATAAAATTTGAATATGAAATATGGCACAAACACGAATGTACATGAAATATAGCGAGAATAAAATTACCGTAAATTGTCAGTCACGAAATATGACATGATTATAGACAATAAAATAAATGATATATGCATGTATGTCCCAATGTTTTGATGTGATGCAAAATAATATTCCATTTCGTATTTTGTTTTATGTATATAAACAATTCCGAGGTTTTCATCAGTCGAAGAATAAATTTGATGTTTTCTTAGGGAAAAAGTTCATTTCATTGATGCTGTCACAGTTGGCAATTCTTCATTAATAAACCATGCATTTTTGGTAATCTTGATTAATCACGATATGATTGATGGTGAGTAAGGTAAATATCTGAATAATAACGGAGATAAGCATTTTTATCAGCGCCATGAAAGCATAAGATGCTGTAAAGACAAATAAAAACTTGTGGTGATAATTGCGTTGAGGTGATATTGCACAGAATAAAATAGTTTTGACCGCAATACCGTGATTTGCTGAAAGTAAAACGAGGCCGTTGTTTGCTCCAAGTAGAAGGCAGAAATTTTGAATCGTGGAAAATTAAAAAATGAGGGTTATTACCCATGTAATATCCCCCACTGCCTTTTCCCTTGAGTGATATATAATCTTACTTAGTCTTAAATTAACATGATTCCTACAATCATAGAAGTTGTTTGAAAATATATATCAGAAAATTATCATCAATTGCAAAATAGCCAGTATGCATATATATCCTGCAAATTTACAGCAGATATGCCCTTCTGACAACCACTTACCTACAAATTTGTATGTGTAGTGCAATGAAACGAACATGATCTGGTTCTAAGCATATAAAACAATGGGTCATTGGTGTTCAACTAAAGAACAGAAATTTCTTTTACTTATTCTGTCTCGACTTGTTGGCCGGTAATATGGAGAAACTCTCAGAGGTGTGGCGCATGGCTTGGCAGTGTGGCAAATTCTGCTAAGAGTTGGGAAAGAGCTTGCCACCGCACCTCTGATTACCATGCATGGGTTCGCAGTTTCGAATCGCATGCAGGATTGATTACGCATGAGAAGATGACTGGACTCCTCGCCACCATAAGGTGGTTCATGTACCCCCTGGTCGGCTACGGCTTTCTCCACCATCAAGTCCATGCATCTTAAAACTGGCTAACTAAATGGTAACCGAACGAGAGGCCGTGGTTCGGCATATGATGATTAAGCAATCTTATTGGCTTTCCTCTCCCCCGGGATAAATATGTAAATCCTATTTCTAAACCCTAATTTGAGCGCTAAAGATTGGCTTCGTCTCACAATGTAGAAGTCTTAGATATTTTTTAGCCTGTTTTCTTGGTGATGTAACTGCTATCTGCCAAATACCTGGGCTGGGCTGCTCTGC